AACAACAACAGCGTGGTATGTTTTCTTTTTGGTACAAAATCAAAAACTCATAGTTGTATTAGTTATACTATCATTGAAAATCAGCCGACATCACATGCATATATTAAGAACTTTTATGCAAATGTCCCTTCCTCGTTACAGAAGTATTTGGCAACTTCTCCATTTTTCTCTATCTGGGCTTCTTTCATCCGTTTAATCTTAAACAGTCGCTTAGGCGAATTTCCTGTTTTCCTAATATTACGTGGGTACCATTCAATAGTTCGCCCGTTTGCGTCCTTCCATCACATTACGGTCTCCCCTATGTTGTTCTAAAGTTGTGTGTCTACCATTCAATACCCCTTTCATTTACGCCTGGCATTATAAAAATGGCTCAAAGGGATATGCGGATCAGTTGAAGAGAGTATTTAGCAGGCGTAAAAAAAACTTTGGCGAACCTGAAGAACTTAATAAAACATGTTTTAGGACTTACGACGGTGGCACTGATCATAGATTACGCATACAACAGGTCACGTGAAGATAAGCCAGATGAATACAGTCAGAACAGGAAAATGCTTTAGTAAGCCACTCTTAATTAATTTATAATTAAAAAAATATAAAAAACAAAAATAACTTGTACAAAAATTCCGTTTCAGACCGGTTTTCAAGTCTTGTATCTATTAAGTGCTCATATGTTTTAATAATTTTGACATTAAGAATTGTCATTACTTCTTTTTTAAAGAAATTAGGATAGTTCTGAAAAATTTTCATGAGGTTACAGCAGGTTTTTTGTTGCTTTTTTGTGGAACTCCTAGCGAAATACTTTTTATTTTAAAAACAGTATGATATGTGTTTTAGAAACAAAAGAAAAAAAACTCACAGACTTGCAATCACTATTTTTAAATTATTGCCACTTCTATTACCGTTATTTTTATTTATTATCGATTGAAGGCTAAGGCAGAAAATGATAAAATGGAAAAAGAAGGGAAGGAAAACGAAGTGCAAAAAATGGGAATGGGAGTATTGAAATATTTGTAGTTGGTAAGAAGTGTTTCGGTCCATTAAGTCGTATACGTTTCTTACCGTTACCACAAGTCGTATACATTTTTTACCGTTAATTACTATCAAAACACAGATTAGTTGAGAAACATTCCTTTAACTCAGAAGCGCGGGGTGTCCACGCCGGTTGTTCGGATAGACTTGTTATTCCTGGTATACAAAATTTATAATTTTTCTGGTTTTACAGTTATTATTACTCATTATTTTGCTAATTTTTGTGACTATCATTATTATGATTTATTTATTATTGTATGAAACTGTAGTTTTCTGCGGAAATGGTAGTTTTGGTATGTCAAACCAGGGCAGCAACCTCTCCACTTTCACTATTCACAAGAAGCTGAGGCGTTTAGAAGTATCACACATCGACTGACTCTTCAGAGGAACTTTTAGAAACAAGCGGATTTACTACACGCTTCCCGAAGAGGGAGGGAAATTACTCGCCAATCACTTTTTTAAGTTAGCAACTCAAAATAGATTTATTTGAATCAGTTTACTGTGTATGTTTCAGTTATTGCGTGACCTATCAGCTTGGTTGGGTAAATCAGAACTGCGTCGATCCGAAGATCACTGCTAAGCTGCACAGGAGCAACAGCATCTGCGCGGAGTGTCAACCGGAAGCTCGGACACATCGGCCTACAGCAACGTATGTGTACTGGACAGACCGAAAATATAATCCAGAAAAACTGGGTGATCCAGGAAAAGGATGGAGGAGTTACCTCCTTTCCTCCAAATAATTTAGACTTCGAATATGGCTAGTCGAAATTATCAGAGTAGTT